TTTTTTTTTTTAGGTTTCAACATCTATGTCAAATTCAGAAACTTGGAATGGAAATTTAGGTATTTTTTTTTTAAACGTGTGCTTCCACTATCACCAGTGATGCCTTACAGAATATCGGTGTCAAGATTGTGGTTGTCAATATCAGCCTCCCCGACCTCCCCCCTCCGCTTCCTCCGCTCTCTTCTGAATTTTGCATTTTCGCAAACTGTTTTGCGTTGTCGCTTTGTCACCCGAAGCGAACACTTGCCGATCCCGTTTAGTGAGCTTCATCTGTTTAGCAAATCTTGTTGAATTTGCAGGCTTTTTTGCATTCACTTAATTTCTGGTCCTTATTCGTCGTTGCTGCTGTTCAGCCATCTGGAGAGGGTCTCATGGATGCGAGCGAGTAAATATTTCTCAGTAACCATATCTATGACAGTTTCATATACAGCTGGCATTTTGCAGCCAAAAAAGGAGCAAACTCCAAAGTAAGCGACGGATTTTCGCTGCCTCCATCTCTGGGAAGTGGCATCGCAGCAGATGATTTGATGGCTTCACCGCGGTCCTTTGAATATATGCTTATAGCTGGAAAGCAGCGGTTATCGTCTGGCATTGAGTCGGAGCTTGTTCTTAATCCTGATAGTAGCGTAATCAATGATGGCCTATTACCAGTTACGGCAAAACAGCAGCGATATATTGTCACATGCTCAAACACCACAGGTTGCTAATTTTCAAGCATTATCTCTTCTGTTGCCAGGCACTTTTTGATACTTCGGAACTGTATTTGAAGCTCTTAGAAGATCTGATATTGCACATTATATATAGAATATCAGCATCCACTATAATAAATGTATTTCAGTCGGTCATTTGTGCGAGTACATTTTACAGCGAGTTCGGATTGAGTCGTATGCCGAAACGAGCAAAAAGTCTGCGCAGTATTTTGCGCAAAAGGTTTTTTTTTTTTGTTCATTCATATATGTTTTTGAGGATGCTCTTAATTACTGCCAGGTGCTTTGCAGGTCATTTCCAGTGCTACTTTGGATTTGGCACAATCTTACAGCACTAGTTCAGGGCATTTGTTTTGCCTTCAGCGATAAATTCATCGTGATGTGTCCGATTGTCAAAAATAACCCATTGGCGCTATTCGGGGCGCTTTTTTAACTTATTTAGCAAGGCCATTGCTTACTTTGCGAGGACACCCGTATCCCGATGTGTCCGCAAGTTTTACAGGAAAGCGAAACATGTCCACACCATACCTGAATCGAACGAAATCATTCATCTATAACATTTGCAAGCAGCTCTAGCGATTGCTGCTTTCTTCTGTCGTTTCCTTCCTTTTTCATCCTCTGCATGTTTTGGGAACACAGATAGTGATATCGCACTTGTTACACTTGTTTTATGTTCAGCGTGTACTTCTTTGCCTCGCAAAGTCGGATCTGACGCTTGATGATGTACTGGTGGTAAACGAGACGGGTGAAGGCCAATTTACAGCTGTGAATGTCTGCGAACGAAACAGCTGCTCCACTACAGTTTCCGTCTTTACCATAAATTCGCCTTTTAAAGGTAGGGGATGTAATGGATTATTGGCATTCGATGTTCGATTATTAACAATTCATGTACTTACGAAATTGGTCAAAAAGCACAGTTGTTCTGGGGCTCAGTGAGAGTTTTGCATTTTCTGTCAGTTAGAGATCTGCAACAAGTGTTTTCTTTTTTCATGAAACATTGCTAATTGTGCAGCCCGCTCAGTGTTCGATAATTTCAGCGTTGGATGAATCGCTTACAATAGAGCAGCTAAAGACGGAACACTGGTCGAACAGGAAAAGGCCAATCAAACTTATTTTTAAGTTTGTCGACCGTTCGTAGCAGGCAGCACTTCAAAGCGCACTGGTCGATCTCGAGCTCTGCTTTTGGTCGATCTTATTCATTCAGTTCTTAAAGAACAGTAAATAGCGGAGCAAATTTTCATATTTCCTTGAAAACACCAAATTCCGAATCCCAAACGCGTCATCGCAGGTTTATGGAGAGTTGTTTTGGACGGAAGTACTGTTTGGCGGAAGTGCTCTTCACCGTATAGCAGCATATGGTGTATTAATATGCGACCTTACGGGTGTCTCGCATTTTGAGGTACATTGAGTTCCATACTGAAACGCACAGCAATATCATCTTTGCGCTTCCTCTCTGACCCCGTCTCTGCACCGTATCGGCCATCGAATTTCTTGGGTTCATCTTTTCAATAACTGCATTGTGTTCTAAGACTGCTGTCTAGCTCGCATTGTCTTGTTTTTT